CCTTTTACATCGTAACCCGTGAGTGAGATCAGTCTCTGTGGCACAAGCTGGTGATAATGGCAGATCCCCCTGACTACCCTTGCCCGTAATCCTCCTGGACTCCCGGCCCCTGTATGACTGGTGATCCCACATCCCCCCTTACCATGGCGTCTCCAGTGGTGTTTCCTTCCCCCTCGGATCAGTGATGGCAGGTTTTTTGCAGAGCCCTGCACTGAAACTCGCTGGGCACCTGCTTCTGCTCTTCAGTGTCACAGTGCTTTGGGCAATAGGTCACAGACTCCACAGTTCAGCCTACCGCATCACCGCCTTCTGCCCTCCCAGCTGCCCCTAACGTGCACATTCATCCAGACAGGCAGGGCTCAGATATACCCCAACATTTCACATTTAGTCCCTTCTGATTCTGCATGATTATTAAATCTGAATGTGGCCATGTGAAGTGCCTCACAGTATAATTTCTGAGTGCTATAAATACGTGTCACATACAAAGACATACTACTCCAATTCCCTGTTCTGCCAGCATGCATGTGTAGACAAGAACCTAAATTCCTAAATTCCAGCATGGAATACAGAGATGATAAAGAAACGAATGAGTGGGAAGAGGAGGACAGAAGAAAAGACAAAAACTGAGAAATGGAAATAATAATAAATAGAAATAATAAATGGGAAAAATACTTCCTGTTTTGAAGTGTCTTCTGCCAGTGCTCTTAAATGTTGGGTTGACCTCTTTCTGTGTATATTCCAGCTGCCTCTCTGTTAATGTTCCAATTAGTTCTGTTGCTTCTCCTTCCATACAACCATTTGGTCTGTACTGTCAGCAGCATGGTACAGCATTCATTATGAAGTCTGACTTGTCTGTTCAAACACAGAAAGGAACTTGATTCTCATTGTATTGCTTATTGCAAGAAATAGCTGGAGGCATCACACAAATGATTGCAGCCTGAACTAGGACAGTTGCCTCCACCATTACATTGTTTGCTCCTTCTACACTAGCTCAGCATTGGAAAGAAGCTGCTTCTCTCAGGGGACAGATAAGTCCTCATGATTTCAGCTCCTAGGTCACAAAAAGCAAGGCACACTTGATTTCTTGAATCTGAGTATTATGTATCCCATCTTTAGAAATATACTGTAGATAATATGTTTAATCAGCAGAAATTTAAATTTACAATTACTAAATTTTAGGTTAATCTACCTTGACATGATGATATCAATAGATTGTTCTGCCATTGCTGGCAACCAGCATGTATCTTTCACTTTAAATCTTACATTTTAACAATGTGAAGTAGCTCATACCACTTTTCATAAGCTTGCACTTACACTGGTATGCTCTTGTTTGGGTGTTCTTTACACAAACCTGCAAAGCTAAGAAAGCTTCAGATTTCTGGAACCAAAGACATTTTTTAAAGAGGACGAATTCCCATGGCAGTTTACCTGCTGCTTTGTTTAAGCTGATTCTCACACTTCTCCAGGAAATCATCAGGCAGTAACTGAAGAAGCCTGAAGAATACTTTGGTTTAGTGTTCTTCTTCCAAAGGAGCTGGTAACTGTCCAGATAATACTCAGCATTCTGGGCGATCTGAAATGTTAATAGTCATAGCTCCACCAGATAGAGCATGTGTACAGAGAATCATCTCAGGAAAAGATCTCAAAGCAAATACAAGGCAATCCACTACCCAGATCCTCTTAGTCACTCTCTGAGTCACCGTGTCAGATATCACAGCTACAAAAGACAAAAGAGCTCTGCGAATTACTAAAACATTTGCAATTTTGTCCATATCTCTACTTTCTCTGCTATTCTGTTCCCCCTCTCCTCTGTTGTGAACAGGCACTGAGAGCACCTCTTGGAACTAGAGGTAACTTTACCACTGCCCACCTCACTTGTCCAGGACCCACTGAGCAGCATCTGAATCATTTCTCACTGGTCAAACACTTCTGGGGAGGAAGGAGTGCTATATGATAACAACACAGAAGTACAGTTGTGAGTTATTACCTCCAGCTGTTAATGCTACTATCAAAATCAGACTCTTAAACTGCAACAACAAGAAACCTCAACCCTCACACAAAACCCAATTCCTACTTAAAAACAGACGCTTCTCTGTAAACAGCATTTTGAATAATCTAGGGCTTAGAGTTTAAATAACAAAACACAAAGTACCTCTTGGGATACAGTTTCAAAAGTTTTTTTTGTTTGTTTTTTATTGTTGTTTTTTTTAATAAAAATTGCCATATGTAACATTTCTATACATGTTGTAAATTGTAGAATTAGATTCAGAATTGTTCCCTATAGTATTTCAATTTCAGAACAACACTTTCTAATATAAAGACTGCAGTGGAAATGCTAGGTCATGGCCTGAACAAGTGATTAAGCACCTGATAGGAAGGCAGGGCCAACCCAAGGGATTTCAGATGCAAGCAATGCACCTGAGTGACTGGAGGGGGTGGAGCCAGGATCCATCCCTTCCCATGCCTCATTTAAGGGTTGACAGGAGAGGAGAGTATCTCTTGCCAGAGATCCCTGTGTACCTGACACCTTCCAAGGATAAGCAGTTCTTTTCCTTCATTTCTGTATCTGTGGCTACTGTATTTGGGCTTGTTCTCATTTGCTACAGCTAAAGAATTTGCCACCCTGCTATTATCATCCCACTATAGCATTACAAAGACCAATGTTATTCATTTTGAAGATAAAAAGGCAATCTACATCAGTGATGTTTCTGGATATGACATTTCTGTGGCAGGGGGGTTGGAACTTGATGATCCTTGAGGTCCCTTCCAACCCCCCAGGCCATTCTATGATGTCTGCTTTTCTTTAGATTCTTAAGCAAATCTAATACAAATTGAGCTGCCAGAAGGAGGGCAGTGTTCCTCTCAACAGTTTAAGTAAAACAAAGTAGCCCTGCTGGCGTTGTATATGATGAGTATATGTTTCAGATAAAACAATTTTTTCAAAGAAATTTATTAAAGATCATTAATAAATCTAGCATTCCAATAGTATTGTGGTGTATATTAAAAGACCATGTTCCGTCCTCCATCCCCTCCAGTACGTCTCTTTATCAGGGTTAAGGGAAACCTTCCAGATAAGCATGATATGCAAGCTAGACATATGTGGTGATGTCAACACAGCAGGATTACTGTCTTGCTTCAGGTGTTATTCATGCACAGGGCTTCTTGGCAGTTACCACTAAACAGCTGTGGTTTTTTTTTCCTTCTATTACCTTTCCTCTGCCCTCCTTAAATAGACGCACAAGCCGTCTTTTTCTCCCACTGTCCCTGTTCTCCTGATTTTTATGGTTTTATTTGGTAGTGTCAGCTTTAGTTAACACCCAAGATAAGCCAACACCTGCTTTGCTTTCTGTTGCATTCTGTTCTGAAAGATGTTTCCCATTCAAAGCAAGACCCCCAAACTCCCCTTTCACTATATGTAATGTCCAGTAGCTTCTGCTGCCATTCTCTTCAGGTCAGGGTTAGCCAGCCACTTCTCGTGATCTGTTGTCAGCAGCATCGAAGATTTGTCCTATTCCTTTGTTACCTGGTTTACCTCCTGCTGCAGCAGGCCATCTGCCTGTTGTGTCTTAATCATACAATGTTCTACAACCCTAAAGCAACTGGAGTTGCTAACTTGAGGCTAAACTGTGAAGATGTATATCCTACCCGTGTCTACAGCACACATTCTTTGTCATCGTTCTGATTTATTGCACCTCACTAAGTCTGATGAAACTGGTGAAAGTTTTGTCCAGCATGCCATGTTTTAAGGCCCTTGACTCATAGATGTTATTCACTTAGCTCTGCAACAGAACTGTCAGCATACTTATGCCTCCAGACCAGTTAGGATTGCTGCACCACAGCTGCACAAGCATACTGTGCTCTAAACTTCTGCTGAAGTGAAGAGTATCTGGATTGTGTTCCTACTCTTGACAACTGGCAACATTTCTAACCACCCCAACTGTGGACTTTGTAGAACCAAGACAACAGGGGACTAGCTGTATGTTCTCAGCACTGACAGTGTTCTCATCTTAGAGTGGAACAGCTCTCATCTTAGAGTGGAACAGTTTTACAAACATTATGTTTGGTATTAGTATGAAATAAAGACTAAGAAGGGCAAGAAACTCCTTCACGTAGTGTCTGTAGTAATTGCAGGGGACGTATTGAAGCAACAGAACTCCTCAAGCTATATTGCAGGTGCATGACTGTACCTTCATGTTGAATAAATGACAGAGTGTAGAAGATGAGAGATTCGTAGTTCTACAAGTAAAATTCCTTGCAGGATATATTAGCAAGAAATAGGAAGTGTGTTGCCTCTAAAAGCAAAGTGAGTAATGATTAGCTGGTGATGTATCCCACACTTATTGCCTTGTGATTCAACAGTGAAGAACTTACCCTGTTTACAGTCTAATAAAATGGCAGTGAACTTACAATTAATCATAGAATCACAGAACGCCTTGGGTTGGAAGGGACCTTGAAGCCCATCCAGTTCCAACTCCCTGTCATGGGCAGGGCTGCCACCCACCCAAAACTAGCCACCCAGCCTGGCCTTGAATGCCTCCAGGGATAGGGCACCCACAGCTTTTCTGGGTAGCCTGTGCCAGGGCCTTACTGCCCTCGGAGTAACAAATTTCTTCCTAGTATCTAATCTAAATTTCCCTTATTTTAGTTTAAAGCCATTACTTCTTGTCCTATACTTCTTGTCCTACTGCCCCTTGTGAAAAGTCCCTCCCCATCTTTCCTGGAAGCCCCTTTAGGTACTGGAAAGCCACTATTAGGTCTCCCCAGAGCCTTCTCCAGGTTGAACAAGTGCAGCTCCTGCAGCCTTTCTGCACAGGAGGGGTGCTCCAGCCCTCAGATCATCTTCATGGCCTCCTCTGGCCCTGCTGCAACAGCTCCACATCCTTCTTGTGCTGGAGGCCTTGTGCCTGGACACAGTACTACAGGTGGTGCCAGAAACATACTGTGTGTGAGACAAGCAAAAATGTTGCCATATGAAATAAAGAGACATATAGACAATCATATGCACAGAGAAAGACAAAATGTTTTATGCACAGAAAAAAAAGGCAAAGTGAACGTTAAGGTTCCCCTGCCTCATTTTCATCTTCAAATAAGTCAGTTGCCACTTCATCATAGTCCTTCTCCAGGGCAGCCAGGTCCTCTCGTGCCTCTGCAAATTCTCCTTCCTCCATGCCTTCACTTACATACCAATGAACAAAGGCTCTCTTGGCATACATAAGATCAAACTTGTGGTCAAGCCTTGCCCAGGCCTCTGCAATAGCTGTGGTGTTGCTGAGCATGCAGACTGCTCGCTGAACCTGGGCCAGGTCTCCCCCAGGTGTAGGTACAGGTGGCTGATAGTTAATCCCAACCTGCAAACAGCAGATAAAATGGTTCCATAAAAAGAGTTAAACAAATAGATTTCTATAGTGGAAATGCTAAGTCATGGCCTGAAACAGTGATTGAGCACCTGGTTGGAAGGCAGGGCCAACCCAGGGGAGCTCAGATGCATGCAGCGTATCTGAGTAACCAGAGTGTGTGGGACCAGGATCCACTCCTTCCCAGATCTCGTTTAAAGGTTGGCATGGGTTAGGGGCATCTTGCTGGAGATTCCTGCCTAACTGAGGCCTTTCAAGGATAAGCAAATTTTCTTCCTTTATTTCTGCATCCCTGGCTACTGCATTTGGGCTTGTCTTCATTTGCTGCAGCCTTGGATTGTGCCACCCTGCTATTATTGCTGTGCTTCCCCATCATATTATAGCATTACAGTTACCATAGGTTAAGAAAAAAATTAAGGTTAAGAAAGCTTTCCTGGTCAGGGGAAGGAAAAGAGGTAAGGAAAGAACCTGACTGGAACAGTAAATCTCTGTTAAGTCTTAAGTCACTCAATGTACAGTTTTGAGTACAAATCAATTCCTACTCTCAATAACCCGAACAGGACTAAGTGAAGAAAAAGGTGTTGGCATGGTTGGCAAAACTGGTGTGAATGTCTCTTCTTGGAGATGTTATAGAAATGTATAATTGACACTGTTTTGGGTTATTCTTTTGGTTTGTTTGAATCTCATAGAGAGCACTCTCAATGGCACCTTTAGAATGTAAGCTGTACCTTACTCTTTCTTCTAGAATGCAGTTTCTTTAAGTTTAAAGATTAGGAGGGTCCACATTCTCCTGTTACTGAATATAAAAACACTACATGTGCTTGCATTTGTTCAAATACTTAGGAGTCTCTGTCTACGGGATGCCTGAAGGAAGAAGGGAGCTCACAGTTTTCTTAGGTACCTTATTCCCACAAGAGAAAAGCATGCAAGATCTAAAGCTTAAAATACAAGATTTCAGCTAGACTGACTTTGCCCTTAAAGAGAAACTCATGGCATTCTCACCTTGAAGCCTGTTGGACACCAGTCAACAAATTGAAGGGACCTGTTGGTCTTGATGGCAGCAATTGCTACATTGACATCTTTGGGAACTACATCACCACGATAGAGCATACAGCAAGCCATGTACTTCCCATGCTGTGGGTCACACTTCACCATCTGATTGTTGGGCTCAAAGCAGGAGCTGGTGATTTCAGCCACCGAGAGCTGCTCGTGATATGCTCTCTCAGAAGAGATGATGGGGGCATAGGTCACCAAAGGAAAGTGGATGCGTGGGAAGGGCACCAGGTTTGTCTGGAATTCTGTCAGATCCACATTGAGGGCACCATCAAAGCGCAGCGATGCGGTGATGGAGGAGACAATCTGGCTGATCAGGCGATTGAGATTAGTGTAGGTTGGGCGCTCAATGTCTAGGTTTCGGTGGCAGATGTCATATATAGCCTCATTGTCCACCATGAAGACGCAGTCTGAGTGCTCCAGGGTGGTGTGTGTGGTGAGTACAGAATTGTAGGGTTCTACCACGGCACTGGAGGCCTGAGGAGCTGGATAAATGGCAAACTCTAGTTTAGACTTCTTTCCATATTCCACAGAGAGGCGCTCCATCAGCAAAGAGGTAAAGCCAGAGCCGGTGCCCCCACCAAAGCTGTGGAAGATGAGGAATCCCTGAAGTCCGGAACAGGCATCAGCCTGAAAGCGAACAGGAAAAAGGAAAGAGTAAGTGAACATATCTTCAAATTTCACTCAGATAGAAATAGCAGCCCCCGCAGCCAATGCACAGCAAAGACATCAGCAGTTTTTGCAGGAAAAACTCCTGTCACCTGTAAATCTCAGGCTGAAGTATCACTAGAATAATACTATTGGTTTTTTTTTCTGACAGTATAACAATAGTATATCAGTATTTGACATTTTCCACTTAAGTCTTCACTCATTTGAAACCTAAGGTGGGACAGAAGAACTGAGTTGCTCTATTCTGAGCCCATAACAATAATAAGAGCAAAATTAGAGACACTCTCAAAAATATGCATTACATGTTTCTTTCACTTCCCATCCATCAACAGCCTTGCTTCCAAAGTAATATTGCGTACCAGTTTGCGGATGCGATCTGAGACCATGTCAATTTTGTCTTTGCCAACGGTGTAGTGGCCACGTGCATAATTATTTGCAGCATCTTCTTTTCCAGTGATCAGCTGTTCTGGGTGGAAAAGCTGCCGGTAGGTGCCGGTTCGTACTTCATCTGAACAAGAGAAAAAAAGAATTATAAGCTTAGAATTATAAGCTTAGAAGAGATGTTTCACCAAGGTTAATAATGTTTGCAAAACAAATGGAACATTTTATGTTGGCAAAAACATGATATGGAATATCTGCATGGGGGTAGGCAGGGGGATGATGATGACAAGTACAGAGGTAATGAGCAATGTCTGGGATGATCTCAGTTTTGACCAAAGAATTGGGCTCCTATCTGAGTGTAAATGGTTGTCCTGTACAAATAAATTAATTTAGTAGATGAGGTTTGTGCCATGATGTGATAAAATTTCAGCTTTTCCAACTGATCAGATGCAGATTCATCAGAATCTTCAGGGGAATTATTAGAAAGAGATGTGCAGGAATAAAACATCTTTCAGGACACTCCTGCTTCGTTATTCATGTTCTTGTTTTCCACATGAATGTGAAGAAAACAATACTTTCTTTAAGAAAGTCAAACTGTATTCAACCAGTATGGTTTTAGAGAATAGAAAACTTTTTATTTCAGTATTAGTTAAAGCATCCATGACAGAGCATAGTTGGTTTTCATCTTTTCATTGAGAGTCACATCTTTTAGTAATACTTGCTATTAAAACCTCTAAATGTGTCAGTTCTATCTGAATGCTGGGATCATCCTTAAAGGTGAAGACACAGGCCATTCAATGGCCTGAACTTTGGCACGTAGAAGAGTTAATTCATTTCAGTTTTCCAGGATTAATTCTATACTGACCTACTACAGTTGGTTCCAAGTCCACCATAATAGCTCGGGGCACATATTTACTCATGCTTGTCTCTCTGAAAAATGTGGCAAAAGAGTCATCACTGCTGGGTGGGTCGCTGAAGGTGCCATCTGGCTGAATGCTGTGTTCCAGGCAAAAGAGTTCCCAGCACGCGTTGCCAATTTGAACTCCAGCTTGGCCAATGTGGACAGAGATGCACTCACGCTGAAATGGGAGAACAAGGGAGATGTGTCATTACTCAAGGATGTATTTTCAAACAAGGCTTGAAAGCCATTAGTAAGATTCACCTAGCCTCTCAATTGAGAACTCCTTGAACTCAGTACAGGAATTACAGACCTTCCCTGGTTTATGCTACTTTGAAAGATTTAGAGAATGGCGATGGCCTGGGAAGACCACAGATAATGACCATTAATCTCTGGTCCCCCTCACTTAGCTATAATTGCAAATTTGAAGCAAAAAAAGTTCCATCAGCCTTCCCCCTGTCCTTCGTATCTTGCCTAGAAGACAGAAAAACAAAGGCCCAAATCCTTGCTCATTATCCAATAAAATAATGATACTTCTGTTACCATGGTTCCTTCTCTGTGCTTCCTTTCTTGATGGAAAGGAGAAGCTTTGGTTACTGATGTTCCTACTGCTGTTCAAGCAACCTGGTGCAAGGGAGAGTTGGCATTCATACTTTGCTGGTTGGGACCCTGTGGTGTCACAGTGCAGGAGGAGAGGTCAGTTTCTCCTCGGCAACCGTCCCACTGCACCCACCCACCTGTTACATCACAGCCAGCTTTCACCCAGCCCTATAGTCTGTTCCTAAGCAAATTTTCTCAGTTTATTTTTTGTACTGAATGGTGGCTTAAAAAAAAAAAAAAAAGTTGTTGCTGGTATTTCTAACCAGAATTTAACAGATCTGTTGTTCAATAACTGTTTCCTTCATTAAAACACTTACAGCTGGTGAATCTGCTACTGATAACTCGTTTTTTAAGAATTTTTATCACTTCTGAATTTCTTAGTCCTTCCAGAAGGTGGTATTATTTTCACATTTTGTCCTCGTGAAAACAAAAGCTCCACATCCACATTTCGTCTACAGTCAAGTTGCTCAAGTTCCTGTGATGGAAATGAGTTGGGGAGCAGGTTGAACTATGAGGAATTCCACCTGACCAACTGTTTGGTCATCTGTGGTCAAAGTACATGGGATTATCTTCTTTCCTCCTTTTCTTTGCGCCATCCCTTCAGCTGGTTATAGACAACTGTTCTTCAATCCTCCACCTGCCTACACTATAGGCTAACACAAGTTCTTTGTGTCCAGTTAGAGGATGCCAGAACAAAAAAAGCAGAACATTTGGTGTCACATCTGGAGATACCAGCATGAAGTTTGCATGCACCTGGCAGGCACACACATTCTCTCTCAACAAGCCTTAAATGGTAGGATTCCAATGGAATTAACACAACTGCATCTTTTCCCTCCGTGATACATTAACAGTGCAAAGAAAAACACAGACCAAGACAAGTACCAGGTACTTTATTCTCAGTAGCTCTGATTTTAGCCATCCCGAAGTACACAGAAACACTTAAATATATTTTATATATATATACATATTGCATCTTTCACAGAAAGTAATTATCACTTTCTGAACTCCTATGAAAATGCAGGCCTGTAAGTCTCTGCTTAACTAGCAAGTCTGCTACCTAATTCCAATATACTTGTACAACGAGGACACATATGAAAGGATCTACAGCATCAATACATTATATGCTAAAGCACTTCATCACAGCACAAATAAACAACTCTACAAAGAGGTAAATAAGTAGTCATTTTATTGTGAAATTTTAATATTGCAGGTTTAGTAGTCATTGCTCTAGAAAACTCTAGGAAAAAAAAAAAAAAAAGAAAGATTGGTTGTTTCTGCCTTCACCCCTCTCATGGAGTGCTAAACACAATTCAAATCCAATATCAGTAGTACCCAAAAAAAGCAGAAGTTGCTAACCTACCAATAAAATCAAAATAAATGTTCTGGTAAATGAATGGCTATGATATTTAACAGAGCTCCACACATAGCAGACTACCCACTGAACCCAGTCCCCAAAATGCAGCTCTGTGATTTAACTGGAAGCGTTAACAGAAATTGAGATTTAAAAAGTGGTTGTTAGCAGAACGGTCATGTATCATTTAGAATTTAGCCTGACTTCAAAGGGAAATTTATTGTTTCATAAACTGGTTTACCAAGTCTTTAGAGCAAGGTCTTGCAACTAGGTGGCCAGTAGATGCAATCCAGTCACTTCCTGGAGGAACTCAACTCCAGCCAAACCCTCTGTGTTGGATTCCACCTGGTTTTCCATCAAGTGCTGGCTGTAGGGAAGCACAGCTACACTGATAATTGGATTACATGAATCATCCAGCAGTATCAAGAACTGCTCCTCCCTGTATACAGAATATATGATAAATATATATTTATATTTTTAATTTGGTGAAGCATTATGTGCTACTTGTCCTAGGGTAAAATCCAACTGGAGACAAAAATTTCAGGGGAGAGAGGATAGGAATGTCTTGTGGTTTTAATCTTTTATTTACCTGAGATAACTAGGCACAGTGATGACTGCTTTCTGCATTAATGGATGCCCCACTTTATCTCACACTAACACCGGAATATTTCTCTATCAGGATAACTCTAGAACAATCTAGACCGAACAAGACTTTTAGCAGTAAAGACACAGACTTTTCCAAGTGGTCTGGTAGGCTGCAAAGTGACAGAGCACACCAACAGGCTGCTATCCTTGTAAAGAAAACAGAAATTGCCACTACCTGTGTAGAACTATTGCTAGAAACAAATGATCGATTCAAAGGAGGCTACCACGCTAAGACACTGCAGTGGGACCTATACTGGCTACTTTACACAAGCTTGGTGTGTTGGATAGAAACTGGCCACCAAAAAGGCAGCTTCATTTCTGTAGTTTTGGCTGACGTTGACCAGCCTGAATCACCTTGGCACAGATGCTGGGACAGCTGGCTACATTCGCCACATGGCTCTAACTTTTTCTCTCTAGCACACATGCAGCTTGCTCCAGTAGAAGCAATCTTGAAATAGTCAATGCTCTCTCCCTTGGCACTTACTGTCAATCGATGGGAAATAACTGTTCTCCTGCAGACCTCCAATCTCTGCCCGAGGTGATAAGAAACAGCGTCAGCCTGGTAAGTCCTTCTGTAAAGGCAGTAACTTTCTTGCCACATCTGTGGGGATCTCAGAGTTTCTATCAAAGATTTGTTTGTTCTGAATGATAGAGCATTGCTGAATGGTTACCATGTAAATTAGGATTTCATGGGCATAAGAGGAAGACATAATGGGACTTTTTGACATCTTCATAAACGAAGCAAGAGGTAGGGAAAGAGTAAAACAATGAAACAACCTTAGTTGTTCAACTAGACAGTAATATGGAACATAATTTAAAAAAATAAATTTCATTACCACAGGCACAGACTCCTACAGATTACTATGCACCAGGCAAGCACAAGGTACTGTAATCTGCATTTAAGAACTATAGGTGCAGGACAGCTGTACTTGCAGCACACCACCTAGGCCTTCTGTCATAGATATGATTAAAATCAAGAGTGCCCGTATGAGGAGGCATCAGTCACAAGAGAAACCATGGTGTTCAAAATACAACAGGCTTCATTTCCTGCAGTGTTTTTTTCCCATGTTCTTGTCCTCAGCCCCATGCTAGAGGAACTGGGATTTGTGATGTCTTGAGACAAAACAGAATATTCCCTCCAATTACTGATACTCTGCTGCCTTTAACATTCCTGCTTCCAGGAATGCTGTTTCAGTTGTTCAGGGAACTGCACGGTATTTGCAAGAATGGAACCATCTTCCAAACAGGCATCATACTTCATAACTGTCTATGTAACTCTCACTCAAGAGCCACACCCAAAGCAAAGTGTTTCAAAAGGAGGATCTTAATCAGCTGTAGATTACAGAAGGAGTGACTTTACTCCAGTGTTGGACAGAATGGTGCTGAATAGCCAAGGTAGTGTCAGGAATACTTGGCATGGCTTCAAAATTCATACACCACTGGTCCCTGTCTGAAGAAAGGAGCGGACCACTTTACAGGAGATCACAGTTGGTCATCTCCATTCAGACACTGATTTCAACAGTCCTTGAAGAACTTCATAAAGTCCTTGAGACAAGCTGGCACAGGAGCAGAAGACATTTAGTCTTGAATTGGAGGCCTGTGGATCGGAGACAATACAGCTGCCCAAGCCTGTCGGAAGAGCTGCACCAGTTTGCAAATGAACGGCAGGGACGTGGGAGAAGCTGCAGAGCAAAATAAAGACAGTTCTACCCTTTTAAACAGACCAAACACATTAAGAAAGAACTAATTCAACTACAGTTAATGGAAACCTATGTATCTTATTTCCTTCTGTTCAGTTCAGTACTCAGGCCCTCACCAAAGGCACTGCTCCTTTACCTAGCAAGTTTTTTCAGTATTTTCCAACACATTATTTGCAATATAGCTATGGAGCACCTGCCACCCAGCAGAAGGGGCAGGTACAAAAAACATGCAATCCCTCCAGCCCAGTAGCCACCTCTGTATCAGGCAACCAGCCTGTTCTTCAGTGGTCAGGCACTGGAACAGGCTGCCCATGGAGGTGGTTGAGTCAGCATCCCTGCAGGTGTTCTTGAAACATTAAGGGACATGGTTTAGTAGGGAAACATTGGTGGAGGTAGATGGTTGGGTAGATGATCTTGGACATCTTTTCCAACCTTACTGATTCTATGACAGCTTCAGGCATCAGAGAGACCCCAGTATAAGAAAATCAGAAGGAACGCTGCCCTGGGCAACTCTGTTTCCCTGACAGGTCAGCCCTAATTTGCAGTTGCTCTTCCAAGAGACATTTCACCTCAAAGTCACTGAGGCAGAAGCTGCATCCAGGACATCCCAGCCTGCCTCTATCAGCACTTTGTCTGTTGGAAAGAACTGAGGATGAAATCACTGTTTGCAGAAAACTGGCTTTTGTAGAGCTATATCTTTCTACGTGGATTGTAACTGAAAATATTTAAAACAAGCCCCACTAATGGGTTCCTAGCCACACAATTTTTGTCTCTCCTAAAGAGAAAGCATTTATACAGATCTAATCTATTTTAAAACAGCAATTTTATTCTCTATAGCCACAATTAAATTTTAAAAAAAGAGAGATTAATACTTAATACTCTACCTGGGTCTAACCTCACCACTACTAGGTACAGCAGGAAAGTAGCCAACAGCATCTTTTTATAAGGAAGTAGATAGAAGTGGCTTGACATGGACCTTAATGTTCTTCGCAGCAATGTCAGCATGGTCAAGAGCTTTTGGGACAGAGCACCTAGAACACAGAATAGAAAAGCTGTTGGGGCAAAGCAAAAAATATTAATCATACAGACACTAAGAAATTAATGCAAATAAGACTGTTGTTAGTTTGATTACATGATAGATGTTTTTCGTGTCTGTTTTGGTTGATTGTCTTTTTTGTTGTCGTTGCTACACAGAGAAAGAACAGAATTTCATAATACTATTTGTTACACTCTTTTTACATATGAATTTATACCACAGTAATGCCTGCTTCTCTCCTGGGAGATAAAGTAATTTACAGTGCTGGAGAAGCAGATCTTTAAATGCCAGATGTGGCTACTTCTACACGGGCTTGACTGCTAACACAGAAGAAGTAGAGAACACACAGAAGCAACAAGCATGCTTTATAACTGTCAGCAAACAAATCACTATTTCCTTCTGTGATACCCAGCATGAATTCCTCAAGGCTGGTAAGGCCTAACACTAGTATTAATACAGACTTAATACTCACTGCTCTTTGTAAGTAATGCATGAACACAATGGGTCAGGTAGTTCTACAGTCTGTTAAAGCCAGATGTCAATGCACAACTATATTTGAACTGAAACCATCAACTCATTTAAGGAAATTAAGAAAATTTTAAAAAAGCAAGGGCATGACTTGTAAGATAAAGCACTGCTTCCTTCCTGAGCCACTGGTCTCAACCTGGTTTCAGACATCAACAAATGAGAGAGCTTCAGTGATCATGGGGCTTGTGAACAGCTTTCGTTTTTGGAACATGCTTCCCATCTCTTAATGTACCACTGACAGGTTGCTGTCTACACACACAATACAAAGCCCTGAGTGCTTGTGAAAGCCATGTCATCAATAGCACTAGGGCACAAGCAGACTTTCTGGGATGGACTATCACACATTACAATAAAGAGAGCAAACAGTTCATAGGTTAATGTCACAGAACGCATGGATGTTGATGACCAATTACAATCTAGATGGAACTATTCTGGTAATCTTTAATATACATGTAACTCTAAACCTTGAAATCTGAGAGAGGAATACAAACAACAGAGGGAAAGCCTACCCAAAACAGTCTCTGTTGCTTTGTCCTCGTGCTCATCATGAGCTGAGTGCGTTTCTTCCTGTTGAGTCCACTGACATCGCTTTTCACAAATGGTCTCAACAAACGCCAGCTTCTGCTCACTGTCAAGAATATCACAGCTGTACACAAGCTCTTCTGCCCCCTCAAATCGGCCAAGTGGAAGCAGCACGTGCAGCAGATACAGCTCCAGCAATGAGACATACTCAGACAGGCTCTTATTGGTTTGGTCCCTCAGCCAGCTACTGCCAACCTCCAGCATGACCTGGGGCTCTCTCACTTTGCTGTATAACAGGATACTGCAACACAGGAAAGAAAAATTAGAAGGCAATAACTCGGTAGAATTTGAGACAGCCGGCACTTCCCACAAAGACACATGCCAAGGTTTACACCTGAGGTACATAGATTTCCCAGAGGAACAATTCTCCCTTAGAGTTTTGTACTTCATTCCCTTAAAGTTGCCTGAATAAATAGCACCTTTCTTTTTATTTATTTTTCTTTCTGAGAACAGGCCTGCCCTGAGCTCCACTTTCATCCTCACAGTGCCAAAAGTGAGAATACCAGAAATTATTCAAGTCTGGCCTTAAATCTAATCAATGCCGGCCCTTTTGAGTGCGGCAGCCCACACTCACCACAGCTCCAGGATTTTTGGAGGCAGCTGCTCAGGACGATCGTAGTACTGCAGGACCCAGGACAGAACTTCTCTCCATCGGTTCATCTCAGCCAGAGCCTGAATGCCCACCACGCAAAGGGAGCACTTCACTTCCGCACAACTGCTAACAACAACAAAAAAACACCTACCTAAGCGCTTCTTAGAACCGCATTATCCACCCCTATGAGCAAAACCCCCGCTTCAGTGCTTTGTAGTTCCCAGAATTTGCTCTTACTTTCCCTCCCGCCCCTTCCCACCGCCCAAACAACGGGAATTCAGCACACCTGGGCAGGCGCATGCACGCAGCCCGTCTCTTTAGGAGCAAGCACTGCCGGCACCCGCACGCTTCCTACCTACACTCAAACCGAAGTTCGCAACACAAGAAGCAGCACAACGACCGCACGGAGCCCGCTCGGCTCGCACCTGTCGGGGCCGGGCGCGGGGCCCAGGTTGCCGCAGCCCGCCTCGCAGCGCTCCAGGGCGGCGGCGAAGTCCCGCTGCAACACCAGCAGCTCCGCCGCCTCCTCCAGCAGCGAGGCCGCCTGGGCCGAAGCCGGGGACCAGGCCGACGGCCCGTCGCCCATGGCGGCCGCTGGAGGGCTGGCGGGAGGGCTCTCGCCGCCCGGCCCGCGCCCCGCCGCCCGCTGCCCTCCCGGCTCCGGCTCCGGCTCCGGCGCCGCCATTGCCTGCCCGGGCCGCCCTCTCCCGCCGGGAAGCCGCAAGGGATCCCCTATGCCACCGCCTCACGGCAGCGGAAGGGCCGCCCCCGGCCGACACGTTCTCCGACCCGCCGCCCGCCGGGAAACGTAGTCCGGCCGTACTGCGGGCGCGGACGAGTCGGTTAAAAACGGGCTCTGCTCGGTGCGAGGAGCCGCGGTTATGCGCTGTGGTGCCACGACGGGTTGCAAGGGGCTGGGCTTGGGGCTGAAGGCAGGATTCTCGTTTGCTTTCCTGGCGACCGCAGTCTGTTTTGTAAAGCCTGCTTTGCGTTGCAGTATAGGCTGGTTTCTGATGAAATCCGGGTACGGAGCTGTGTGAGGGTTATGAGAGCTGTTGGCCCAGCAGCACCATGGAGATCCGTGCTGCCCAGCAATGCCTTGGACATGCGTGAGACAAAGTTTTTCTTTGTGAAAAGAAGTCTCTGTTTTTGCCTCAGCAGCATTCATTCATAGAATCACAGAATCACGAAAGGACCACTCAGATCATCCAGTTTGACCACCAGCACACCCTCCCCCCACCATGCCCACTGACCTTCCTCCGTGCCACATCCACACGGTTCTGTAACATCATGAGGGACGGTGATTCCACCACCTCCCTGGGCAGCCTGTGCCAGTGCATCACCACTCCTGAGAAGAATTTTTTCCTAATTCCCCACCTGAACCTCTCCCCGGTGCAACTTAACAGCGATAGGACAAGAGGGAATGGCCTTAACTCAGAGAAGGGTTCCTCGCTACCTCGCCACAACCTCCTTTCAGGCAGTTGTAGAGACTGATAAGGTTTCCACTGAGCCTCCTCCAGACTGAACAACCCGAGCTCCTTCAGCCACTCCTTATAAGACTTGTGTTCCAGACACCTCATAGCTCCATTGCCCCTCTCTGCACAAGTCCCAGGGCTTTGAAGTATTCCTTGTAGCGAGGTTTTGAGTTGAAACTGAACCCAGATCCTTTCCCTCTGTGCAGCTCTCCAAGCGAATGGCATTTGACTAGCTTAAGTTAAGGGAAATCCTTAGCTTCTCACTAAGAGAAACTTTTCCCACTCTGGCAGCCTAGGGAGAACCAAGCCTCACACCTCGGCTGCCCCATCAGCAGGGGCATCAGGGCCCGGCGATAGCAATTGCCCTTCCCCTCGGGACCACCAGGTGTCACCAACCACAAGCATGTCGGCCTGCCCAGATCGGTTTCCAAATGCAGGAAGAGGTTACTGTGAAGTGAGCCAGTACAGCTGTAGTCCATTGGTTTTCCTTGCCAGCGGGAGGGAGGGCTTTGGGGTGGCAGGGCGCTCTTTGCTCACGGCTGCGGCAGTTTGCTAGTGGGATGGGTACACGCCTTTCTCTCCTCAAAATATGTTCCCCTGAGATCTGCAGCCAGAGAGCCTGTTGCTTCAGGCGGCTTCAGCTATGAAATGGAATTGGGTAATAGTAACAGCATCTCCACTGCTTCTGCACAGCAGCGTTGTAAAATGTGCCACATTCTTCTTTAGCTGATATTTGGAAACAATAGAGTGTCCTAATTGCAAAATAACTATTGCACTCTGAAAACACTCTTCATAAAATGAATCTCTACAGGAGAGGAGGGATTTATTACACTGCTTTTTGCAACAGTGGTCCACTAGTAATTAAAAAAAAAAATCACATACACTAATGCAAAGCATTGAAGAGCGAAGCACAAGTTTAAAAAGGGAGCTTCTATGCCAGAAGAAGGTGTGGGGAATCTCACTGTGCCTTCTCCTGGCTCCCCGGGGTGCTGCTTGCAGGCAGCAGGACCAGCCCTTGTCTGTTCAGGACAAGCACCCACAGCAGCACCTTTGGCAGAGCACGCTGGTTTGTGTGCTGTGCTGCAGGCTGTGGAAGGGGCCCCACACGTGTTCAGCCTATTAAGCCAGAGGCACAGCACAGAGACAGCGCAGAATGCAGGCCCCAGCAGCTAAGCAAAGGCAGAGATAAAAGCTTTTTGGATTTCTGTTACTGTTGCTTGGCTCTTGCAATTGGGAAAACAACATTCCTTTTTGGGAACTACAAGTCCCAAAGTGCACTGTGGGAAGACTCTGGCTTGTACCAGCCAGTGCCCAGCAGAAATTCCCAAATATGGATAAGGAATCAATTTTGAAAAAGCCTCGCAGTCACCAAATGCTCCTCACTGAGATTCTGAAAAGGAGTGAGACAGCATGAGAAAGAGGTGAGTGTGCGTTACGCAAAGGTTTTGTTCAAAAGCATCTCTTGGGGAGAACAGCCAAAAATATTCCGTTCCTTAGAAGGAGGGTGCAGCGCAGCCTGGGTGACAGTGGAGCTGGCTGCTGTGGCGATGGAAGGGACTTAGGAAAGGGAATTGTTGTTTCAGGTGGGAAAACAGCAGCAGGGGCAGCTGTGCTGTGGGGTGAGTCAGATCCCGTTTCCTTGCAGATGCTCTTTATTAATAAAGGACTATGGAAAGACATGTGAGCTGCAACAACAGTGCATTTCTTTGGAAGCAGAGAAGGGCAGAGGAGAGGTGGGAGATGCAATAAGCAGCACAGCTGTGTGAGTTGTGGGGCTGTTGGTTAAGAAGCTAAGATGGAAAAAAGCAGCTGTGTAACAATTATTATTATTATGGGTCAACTTAACGTCTGTGTAAGATATGGTATGTTTTTGTACTTCACCGCTCTTCCTAGAGGGGACAGTGTGGTGCCTTGAAGGCCAAACTGACAGGTCCCTGGCCTGCAAACAACAGTAACTCAGTTACAGAACTTCAGGCCAGGAGCAATTACCTGTACTACTGGCAACTGGTTAACAAGTCAAATGAAATCGTTCTGCCGCAGAAGCATCCCGGGAGAGATGAGGAATGCTGAACCCCCAGCCCAGGTCTGTGACCTCTCACAGCTGGTTGTAAATGCAGGAGCTGTACCGGGCCACGGAGAGATGCACATGGCAATTTAGAATGGTACACTGAGCTATCACTTGGAACTCAGTGCCAAACAAGAATGATGCTGTTTTTCCAGCCTTCCCTAAGTGCAAATGATATGAACTGTTTTTAAGGCTGTAAGAGTCACTCTTGTACTTGGACTCTCCAATACAGCTGTGCGATTTCACTACAGAAATACTAGAGGAAGTCAGTGTGTTTGGCTGCATCTTGCTTCCTGGATAACAATCTCTAATAACAGAAAAGCTAAATTCAAGCAAATCTGCTGTCAGGGACAGGTGGTAGGAGAGAAAGGACTTCACCATGGATTTTGCCCTGTGGGTGGGATGCTGAAGCCTGGCTCCTCGCCTCTGCTCTGGAATCTAGGGTTTTTGGTTGCAGTCACCCTGATTTTATAGAGGAAAAGAAAGGGGATGAGGTACAGTAGGGCCTTGTTTGTGTCTTCACCAGCTGTGAATGTACAGGTTGCCCTCTTTCTCTCCCCCAAAGCAGTTCAAGGAGAGTTTAGAGTTACAGGCACCTGTAACAAGGCCTCCTGGGGTAAATCGCCTCAAGTATTAATCCAGATCTGACCAGCATGCGGTCACAGGGCCAGGGGCGCTGGCAGGCAGTCCTTTCTGTGGTCTCTTCTGTGTCAGTAGGCTGTTAATATGGGATTAGCAGCATTAGGGAGACCAGGAGCTAGAAACAATGAGGCCTTCTGACTTGATTTGAAGAAACACCTTTACACCCGTATAAAAACATAAAGCAGAGTCACACATTATATAAAGGCATCATAAGCACAGCTGAAGAAAGGGCATTCTTTAGAAAAACTGTTGTTTTGCAGAATGTTGTAGCTATTTATAAAGCAATGAGGTCTCAGCATACTGCACTGTCCTTCACACCACGTTTTTGTTTTGGTCTGCCTAGGCCATTACACGCCGGAACCTGTAATTTGCTTGTAATTTCCATGAGCAACATATCCCTATTAAATACAAAGGTAGCTGGCTGCAGTTCCTTTCAGTTCACCTGGACTCAGGGCTCCATCTGGCTCCTGGCAGGCTGTCATGAGAGCCCTCAGGTGTGTGAAGATGAGCACTGTCTGGTTGAGCACCAAACAGCTGGCCAAGCATGACCTTCTGCTTTCATATTTTACTTTTTTGGGGACTGAATCAAATATGTTGTTTGAAGCCTAGAACTAGTAAGTGGTGCCTCACCTGTATTGAGACCACCTGCTGATAGTTAATGGTTTTTAAAACACTGACCTCTTATACTGGCCATATGAAAACCCGTATAAATAAGAGGCAAAGATGGTAGAAGACAGGAGAGAAAACGATGGAGGTAATCATAGTCACAGTCCAAATGGGGGATATCACATGACATTAAAGTATGAGCAAATTCCTGTTTTAACCTTCATCACAAACACAAACACTGTGCCAGTTGCAAACACTGGAAACCAGAAAACTGGAAACACAGAGTTGTTTTCACAACTTGTAGTAACTTGTAACTTTTCTCATCTAATCGCAGAAGGTTTCCGAAGCAAAGGTCAATTTTAAATTAATTATCCCTTTTTCTTTGTTCCATATCAAACAAAATGCCAGACTAAGCAGGACAGCAAATTATAACAGCTGTTACTTTTTATTTAGTTGTTACTGGTATAATAGTAATAATTGGTGCTGGGTGGGGCATTTCATCAAGGTAAGGTGAGCCATTCATTTGAAAGCCTCAGGCTTCTTTTCTGCAACTAGTTATTACCTGTGAGAAAATACTGAAGGCTGTCACCAGCGTGGGTCAGTTAAATCCTATTTGCCTAACACTGCATCTCTCTACGCTCTGATTCAGAGTTGCATGCCTTTCTAATTGATCATATCTCATCTTAGAATCTCGCCTACTGAAATCAGTTGTTGTCCATTAATCTCTTTCTTTCCTCTTTCTTCAAAAGTGAACGATGTGCTCTCCTAGCTGGAGAAATGCTTGACAGTGGGAATCCTGGAAGTACTGACAACACTATAGAATAAGAAAAGATTATTTTCTCAATAATTCATGACTTCATAATTTCTCATTACTTGGGTTTTTTTTTTCTTCAGCATTTGTCAGATATTCATCCTTCCTTTTGAATGCAAGTTTACCACAACCTCCTGTTAATTATCACTACAAACGGACCCTGCATGTTCAGCATTCTGAAGTGGAAATTGCAGAAAATGTTACTAACATTAGCAAACTTTTTTACACTTCAGGCCACTGGACCTGGTTCTTATTTGGCCAAGTCTTGTGATGCTCACACAGGTTGTAATTAGATGTTATTTTAGGAAAGCCAGCAGTGCTCTGGAGTTGCTCGGTAACAGCATCTTCAGCTCTGGAGAGGATCAGCTGAGAAGGGGCTGCTCTCTGATGCAGCCCATATCTTGTGTTTCAGGGCAAATGTGCTGCTGCATTCCCCTTCTGCTCCCAGGCTGTGGAATGGAGTCGGTCAGGACTTTACTGCTTGATGGTTTGCTCACAAACTTGATATAGTAATTAAGAAGCTGTTACTTTTTTATTAAATTATCTCACAGCTTTTTTACGTAGGTAATGAAAAAGCAACAACTCTTTTTAAGGTAGGATCTTTCCCCTCCTTTTGAAGATCTGTGTGCTATTTTAGAGCATTACTGGATTGAGAGGTATGAT